GGAGCTCGGGCCCCTCAGTCGGCCCCGTGAAAGTGTCAGGTGCGAAACCACTCCGGCGTGCGGCAGCCAGGTCGCCACGAGACGTCACCTGCTGAGTGAACTGACGCTGCGTGGCCGCAGCTGGGCAGGTGGGCTGTGGGTGGCGATGTTCTTCCCACGTGACAAGAAGCCACGGCACTGAAAGTATTATTTCCAACTAGATAGGTGACCTCACACTGTCGTATTTCCAAGGACACTTCATACTAAAACGCCACCACCCATCACCGAGGCAGCTGGAATGAAGACATACGGCAGGAGTGTTGCCAGGACGTAGGCCGAGACGACGTGGCTGGAAAGACATGGCAGGGTCGACGTCGCTGGGATGACATGGCTGAGATGACGTGGCTGGGACGACATGGCTGGTATGACATGGCTGGGACAACGTGGCCGAGTTGACGTGGCCGGGACAACCTAGGCCAAGACTACGTAGGCCAAGACTACGTGGCTGGAAAGACGTGGCAGGGTCGACGTGGCTGGGATGGCGTGGGAGTCTGCAGCACCTGCAGGCCGTGTGCTGCTCTTCCCTGCACACGGCACACCACAGACCACACTCTGTGGCTCCCGCCAGCCTGGGGATGGTGCCTGGCGCCTCCTCTGCAAAGCCCTCCCCGACTGCGAGTCCAGAGAGGGTCTCCTCCTGCGGCCCCTGGCGACACGGCCCCTGTAAACCCAACATGCTCCGTTGCCGTCACCAGCGGCCGTCACCAGGCCCAGCTCCGGGACCCTGTGAACGCCAGGAAGCCAGGCCCCGTGGGTCCCGTCTGACCCCCGTTCCTGGCACGTGGCTGGGACCGACGCAGGAGGTGAGAGGTGACCAGAGGCCGAGCAGACTGTAACAATAACGGCGACGACAGCTGGCCATCACCCGGCACGTGGGCGCAGTTCTGAAGGCTCGATCCACGTGTGGCGTCTGATTCAATCTTCACAGCAACCGAGAAGTGGGTCCTGTTAGCGCCGTCCCGCAGATGAGGAAACTGAGGCACAGGGAGATCTGGCGGTTTGCCGAGTCACGCACTGAGCAGGCCGAGGCCAGGACGGGAAGCCGGCGCCCTGACTCCAGTGCTGGGGCCCCGTGAGCGGCGTCTGGGCGTCCCGGAAGGAACTCGGGTGACGTCTGTGCTGTGCCCTCATCCCACTGAGCTCCTCTGAAGAAGTGTCTCCTGGTCCCGGGTTCCAGGGTCTGCCGTGGCGCCGTGGGCAGCCTGGTGGTCCGTGTACTGGGCAGTCTGTGGAGGTTCGGACTCTCTCGCGTGGCTCCCCCAAAAGCCTTTACGGATGCCGGGACTCGTGGCTCCCGGCAGGTGTGGCCGCCGCACAGCCGGCGTGGCTCAGGGCACCCCTGCGTGCGGACGTGACCGTCTCTGGTTTGTCTGGGTTCAGTGTGGCGTGCGGGGCCTCTGTCCCCGGAACCCGTGGGCCCCGGCCCAGCCCCCGCACCACCCTGCCCCCACCCGAGGGGAAGTCTGGCTCGCCCCCACTTCGTACCTGTCGGGGCCGTTTGCTCTGCGCAGACTTGGCCGCTGTCTCTTAGAGCCAGGTGCCCAGCCCGGCCAGAGCACCTGCCCTGGGTGTGGGCGAGTCCTCGGCCCGCAGAGCCGGTGGCCCCGGCGGTGGGGATCCCCGCCTGCTGTGGGGGCGGCTTTTCCTCCCCTGCACGGGAGGCCTCGGGCACCAGCCCTCCCAGGCCTTCCTGTCCGCCCGGCACAGAGCGGGGCTGGGTTGTTCTGGACGTTTATCTCGGCCTCCTCCTTTTCTAAAACAACGCAGACCGGCGAGAAGACTGGGCACCCCTCGCGGCAACGGGACACGCTCGGGCGGGAGTGGCGGGGCTGGCGGAGCCGTCGCTGGGCCGTGCTGTCCTGGCCGCCTGGTCCCGGAGGTCTGAGCGAACGGACAGTGGTGAGCGCAGTGCTGAGGGTCTGTGGTTTCTTCAGGCACGTCCCGGCGTCGGCAAGCCCTCGGGAAGGCCGCACCGGCTCGGAGAGCCGTTTGATCTCCGCAGCAGCAGCGCTTGTGGGGGTCGAGGTGCTGACTCTTGTCCGAGGGCTTCCCCTGCCGAGCGCCTTGCAGATGCGCGCCCTTCTAACCTTCACAGCCACGCACCATCACGTCCGTTCCCAACACGAAAAGATTCGCCCGAGTTCACACAAAGTTTGGGGCCCTTTGCCCTGATGTCCAGGTTGGAAAAATTAAATTAAAATAAAATAAAAAATAAAAGCTCGTGGTCCAGCAGGGGCCTCGGTCGAGGGCTGAGCCTGGTTGGAGCCCTGCGTTCTCCGTGGGTGTTGGGGAGAAGAGAAATCCAGGTTTTACTGTGATTCCTCCGTGTTCCTACTCACAGGATAGTCCTGTGGCTGTGTTGATTCTTCATTTTTCAGTGAATAAATCCCAACCCTTTCGGTTCTTCCCCGGAGCATCCCGGCCCCGGAGGGTGAGTCTGGGTCCCACAGGTCTTACCCTCTGGCCGGGACTCGCTGTTTTTATGCATAAACCGTGTTAAGCCTCAGAGGTTACCGCAGAGACATTTCCTGGTGTGATTTTCCCCCAAATCCGGCGGCGTTCCGCGTGCGTGGGGGGCGGTGAATGGGCCGTGCACGCGGGCTGGCGCCGGCCACCTGACTGAAGTCATCCCTGATGCACGCGCTGCTTCCTGTCTGTTTTGCTTTGGTTGTAAGATTCTAGGGAAACTTGGGCTTGTTTTTTTAAAAAAACAACTCGTCGCCCCCACAATATGCCGAAATAAAAAAATAAATAAAACAACTCGTTCAAAAACGATCTGTAAGCTAATGCGTGCTTGAAGCACGTGGGCAGAAGGAAGTAGAGCTGCAGCTGTGGTTTTCTCCTGTCTGCGTTTCTGCGTCAGACACCTCTCTTCCCCACGGTGGCCCCCACGTCCACTTTTCCTCTCTGTCCCCTCCCAGTGCCACGATAATCCTCTGTCACCACTTCCCCAAGGGACCAAGGGCTGACGGAGGGCTCCAGCCCAGGGGGGGCCCGTCCCAGGCCCCCGCGTCTCACCCGCTGGTCAGCAAGCCCCGGAGGAGAGAGCCCAGGGCCCGGTCGTGCGTCCCCCAGAGCTGAGCAGAGAGGAACTGGCTTCCGTGTGGTGTCCGCGGCTTTGGGAAGATCTTTAAAGCCAAGGAGAAGGGCAGCCCGGGCGCCAGGGAGGGTGAAAACATGTGGGCATGTCTCGTGATCTTCAGCCGCTGCCTTGGGCGGGAGCAGAGAGACTCCGATGCGACCCCGGGCCGGGCGGGCGGGAGGGGTGGCCTCGTGGACGGGGAGCATGTGAGCCACACGCGTGGCAGAGCTTTGGCTGTGATGCACTTTCAACTCTTCTGTTGGGCTCAGATTCTCTCGTGAACTTTTTCTTGATGTCATCGTAATTTGAGGACTCGGGTTTTAGGGTTACGTTTTCACTGGGCAGAGGGTGGAATTCACTGACCCATCACTTCGGGATCCTTCGGGGAGGTGGTGCCTTAGTCCAAGGTGCTAGGGTCACCCAGGCTGAGCCCGGCAAGGGACACTGGTCGGCCAGTCCTGAGGACCTCAGCCACGTGTCCGAAGCCACGTGGCATAGGGCTGGGGCGGGTCGCACCGCGGCCAGGCAGAGGCTGAGCGCGCCCCTCATGGTGCGTTTAAACGTCACCCGCGGAAGGAAGGGGGACGGTCCGGCAGTGACACCCTGGAGTTAGCAGGGTGTCATGCCGAGACCTTCCTTACGTCCGGAGCCCTTTCCTGGCTGAGCAGCGCTGCGTGGCTCACACGCGACACGTTTCCTTTGCCCGTTCACACGGCGATGGACGCGTAAGTGGCTTCACATCTTTGCGGTTGTGGATAGTGCTGTGATAAACGTGCTAGTGCAGGTGTGTTTTTATGAAGTGACTTTGTTTCCCTCGTGCAGACACCCGGCGGTGGGATTGCTGGGTCGGATGGCAGGTCTGCGTTCAGCTCTTTGAGGAGTCTCCACGCGGTTCTCCACGGAGCCGCGCTAATTTGCATTCCCGCCAGCAGTGTGCAAGCCCTCCCTTCTCTCCGCGTCCCCGCTGACACCTGCTGCTCTTGACTTCTGATAACAGCGTCCTGACGGCTGCAGGGACAGCCTCTCGCAGAAAAGGATGATTGGTGTCTTTTGCAGGGACGTGGAGGAGGCCGTTATCTTAAGTGGAGTCAGGCAGAGTCAAACACCGCGTGTTTGCACTCACGCGTAGGGGCCAAACCGTGTGCACACGGGCCGTGGGGGTGGAGGGGGGGGATGGGAAACCACGTGGCAGCTACCACGCCCACCATGAGGACAGCGGGTGCTCTGCCTGCCCAGACTGCAGCCACGAAACGTGGTCACCTAGCAAAACGGCTCTTGTGCCCCCTGAGTCTGTAAAAATGAAACGAATGATAAATCCAGAAACTTCAGCCCTGGGTGGTCCACTCAGGCGGGCAGGTCCGGTTCCCTGTTCTGGCCTCGCTGCGTGTGGTGCTGCTCGCTCTGCTTTGCATGGGCCTCGGGAGGTGTTCTGGGAAGAGAAGGAAACAGAAAAGGAGGGTTTTGACACCCTGGTCGTGGCGCGATTTCCGTGTGTCAGTGGACAGTGTAGGTCCCCCTCCCCCCAAGCGGCTGCCATTCTAACGAGAAAGAAAGTGCACCTGCGAGGGCCTCCATATTCACTCTAGAATATTCCATTTGCTGGCAGAGTAGGATCTACTGGCCCCTTTCTTACATCTGTAGGGTGGGCGGGGTGTGCGATGTGTGTAGGTGGCGGGGGGAGCGTGTACATGCGCTGTGCGTGTGCGTGTCTATGCATGTGGTCTGCGTGTGCGTGTTCACACTCTCAGGACGTCCCAGGCCCCGCGCTGGCCCGCGGATCTGACCCGGGGTCGGAGGTTGGGACGGGGAGGCCCCGCGGGCGCCGTGGGCCCCGCCCGTGGCTTCCCAACGCCGCTGACCCCTGCTCTGCCCCCTGCAGGAGCTGTGCCGCCAGCGCATGGCCGCGCGGCCGCCGGACCGCGCCGAGGGCCCGCACGCGTCCCGCATCAACAGCGTCTCGTCCCAGTTCAGCGACGCGCCCGCGCCCAGCCCCTCCGCGCGGAGCAGCACCTCGTCCTGGTCGGAGGAGCCCGTGCAGCCCAACATGGACATCTCCACCGGCCACATGATCCTGGTAAGGCCCGCGCACCGCGCCCTCGCGCAGGGTCAGGCGGGCGCCTCCCCACGCCTGCCGCCCAGGGTCACCGAGCTGCCACCTGGGGTCACCGAGCTGCCACCTGGGGTCACCACGCTGCCACCTGGGGTCACCGCACTGCCCGGGCTCCGTGGCCGCAGGGCTGGCGGACACGCTGCCGCCCGGGGAGCGGACGGGCGGGGACCTCTCCGCCCGGGAGCAGGACGCCCGCTCGCGGACCCTGTGCATCCTCCGCCCGGAGCACACAGCCCACGCGCGTCTCGTCCGTGTGAGGCCGGGCCCGGCTCGTTCATTTTCAGTGGCGAGAACGCACATCGGTGAGCGCCTACTGTGTGCGCTGCTCTGTCCGGCCCTGGACTCCCAGCCCTCCCCTCCCCAGCCCCCCGCCCCCCTCGCATCGCTGGGACGAGTGTCGCTCGCCGGCTGCCGTCGCTGCGGTGGGGGAGGGCTCAGCCTCACGGGGCGGTTCTGGCGGCGCCAGCGCAGACGCAGGGCGTGGCCTCGGCTGTGCACACCTTTCTGCAGACGAGTGTCCCCTGGGGGCACAGGTGGGGGGGCCGGGCCTCGCCTCGCAACCCACCACCGACACCCAGGTTTTCCTGGACACATGTTTGCCACGCAGAAGGTCCTGGACCTTCCTGCCACGGCGTGGGCCACGCGGCGACTGTGGGGGCCGAAACTCGAAGGGAGACGCCCCCCCCCCCCCCCCGCCCAGCGCCCCCGTCCCTGGGAGCCCGCGGGACCCGGGCCCCCCCCCCCCCCCCCCCGTGGGTAAGAGGCGGGTGCGGCCAGCTCGCTTGGGGCCAGAGACACGATCTCACGGTGGTTCACGTGGAGAGAGGGCCTCGCGAGCCGTCAAGCGCACGTTTTGGGACCCTTTTCTGCCCAACTATCTAATCACCATCTAAGACACCAGAAAACCAGTATTTTCACTAAAAAGCCTCATTGCAGAGACTCGCGAGACTCCAAACCTGCTCGGAGCAGACGCCCTGCAAACGGACTCACGCGCAGGGCTCCGCGAGAACTCCAGACGGCACCGAGGAGCCTGGCGTCCCCCAGGGCTGCACCTGGAAACGGGGCCTCACCTGCTGCCCCTCCCAGCCGGGGGCGGGGCCGGCCCAGACCGCCCGCCACAGGCTCCCGCGCCCGCCCTGTGGACAGGTGGAGACCAGGCGCAGACTGGGCGGAGCCTCGCCACTCGGACCTCCCCGCAGGGACCTCCCCGCTTAGACCTCCCTGCTCGGACCTCCCCCCTGGGACCTCCCTGCTCGGACCTCCCCCCTGGGGCCTCCCTGCTCGGACCTCACCCCTCAGACCTCGCAGCTGGGACCTCCCCGCATGGACCTGCTCAGACCTCCCCGCTGGGACCTCCCCACTTCCACCTCCCCGCTGGGACCTCCCCACTCGGACCTCCCCCGCTGGGACCTCCCCACTCCGACCTCCCCGCTGGGACCTTCCTGCTCGGACCTCGCCGCTCCGACCTCCCCCCTCGGACCGCGGCTTCACTGCGGGTTGGCTCTTCAGAGAGGTTGACGTTTGTTCCTCATGTGAAGAAGCTGAGACCAAAAGCCCGGATCGGTGGCGGGATTCGGTGTGGGGCCAAACAGGGCGGACCAGGCGCTCGTGCTCCCCTGACGGGTCGGCGGAGGGAGGTCCGTGGAGAGGGCGCCCGTGTTCTGATACTTTCGTGTCTCAACACACGTGAGTTACACTTCTGTGATGTCTTAAGCCCTGTTGGCACGTGAAAAGACTGAGTGTTCATACAAACTGTGTCTGGCCATCCGTGTGTGTGGTGGCAGCTCTGACAGCAAGCTCAGTGGCTGCTTTCCATCCAAGTATCTGAACCACAAGAACAGCTCAGTCTGATAGGAGACGTCGAACGTGACAGCCCCTGCCACGGCCCCTGCCACAGCATCTACCACAGCGTCTGCCACAGCCCCTGCCACAGTGTCTGCCACGGCCTCTGCCCACGGCATGTGCCATGTAGTCTGCCATGGTCCCTGCCACAGTGTCTGTCACGGCGTCTGCCACAGCTTTTGACAGCCCCAGACACGCGCTCCCCACCTCGCCCGCTGCAGTGCAGGGCCTGGGGTCACATCGGACCCCATGTGTCAGTGCAGCCACCCCCTGGACTCCACGCACACTTGGTAAACTGGAGGGCACCGGGTCTTCCTCAGTAGTCGACGCTGTTGGGAAAACGAATGTTGCCAGGCGTGTTTCCCTGACTCAAGCGTGCGGGCAGCTGCCGGCGGGGTCGGGCGAACATGCAGAGATGTGGGGACCGCAGAGTCGATGAGCAGACCGCAGGTCTCGTGCCCGGACCTCGGCGTGTCTGCTCTTCTCTCGGTGGTTCTGATTCTCTTTCCTTTGACCTGAGTTTGCAGAGGGCTTCCACGCCCCCCGCCACGTGGTGTCCCGCCTCAGCACAGGCCCCGAGAGGCCTGTACGTGCCCGCGGTGAGCGTTCTTGCCACAGTCCTCACCCACTCAACGCAGGTGGGATGGCTCGTCCCATCGGCTCAGAAACTCTAGGCGGGTTCCCATGGGCAAGGCCTCGAGAGCGCATGCAGGTGAGGGCAGGGTGGCGTGCGGAGGGTGCTCCTGCCTCCCCAGCACGGGCTGCAGAAGACCTGCGTGTGCCGGCGCCACAGGGACAGCTGGGGTGACCGACCTTCCGACTCCCCAGAGCCACAAGGAAGGTCCTTCTGTGGTGCTCGGCCACCGGACCCACCGTGCGGAGACGCCCGTGTTTATCAGACAGCGAACGCGGCGGTCTCTCGAGCCGCGTGGCGAGGAGTCAGGACCGCCAGGTGACTATGCCTCGTCCAGGAAGTCCCAGTAGCCGGCGTCCCCGCGTCCGGCTGCCCCTGTGCAGACGGGGCAGAAAGTGGCATTTGGACAGAAAGGTGCGCTGAGGCACGCGGCGAAAGCTGATTTCACGCTTGAACCCAGGTGCAGCAGGGACTGTCCCGAAGAGTGGGGAGGGGTCGGCCAGGTCACTGGGAACACGCTGACCACCCAAGACCCGTGGCTGTGTGCAGACCTGGTGCGCATCAGCAAAGAACACGGCGACGTGGAGGCCGCGTGGTCCAGGCGCCGCAGCAGCGTGTTTCCCCAAGATGCGGGACCCCCGCCCGCAGCATTGTCACCGAGCGTGCAGACAGCTGTGACTTCAGAACCTGCCAGTGCAGACGCCTCTGGGGCGGCGAGCAAAGGAGACAGGCGGCCGGTGGGGAGGCTTCCCGTGGCAGGAGAGGCCTCCCGGGAGACGGAGGACGGATGGCGAGGCCGCGTCGGCTGCGCAGCCCCCAAGGAGACCGGCCACTGGATTGTCGCGGGCGCCATCACCAGGAAGAGGCGGCATCGTGGACTGCAGGGGACTGGGCTGCCTGGGCAGGTGTCCGGCAGCGGTGGGCCGTGGTCAGGGCGCACCTGCCCCAGAGACGCAGGGATGGCCGGGAGAGCCCTCGGCGGGGCACACGGAACCGCGTGGAGTGCGGTGGGCAGTCCTCCCTCCGCGCCCCGAGCCCACTCTCCCCCACCCAGGCCGCGGGCGGTCAGGCCCAGAGGCGGAGCGCGGGCTCCGGGCCCACACTAAGGACGGCAGGTGGAGCAGTGGCGCCGTCAGCCCACGAGTGCCCGGGCACGCCCTGCCGTCTCCCCCGCTCGCCCGGAACCAGTTTCTCGCACCAGGAGGGGCTCGCTGTGCGGAGTTGGCGCCGGGCGGGGCCTTCGCCTCCCGGATCCGGGCAGAGTCGTGCATGCTCCACGCTCCCTCTGTTTCCACGCTCTGCTTCCGTCTCTTTGTTTTGCCTTGCCTTTTTCCCTTAGAAAGCGCCTTCTAAAAATTCCGGTTTCCTGTCAGTGGAACGGGGAGAGAAAACAGGCCTCGTCCACAGGGAAAGCCGCCCGGAATGTCGCCTGCCCCGGCGCACAGCAGCCCAGGCGCGGAGGGAATGGCGGGCCCAGGACGGGGTGCGGGGGCCGCGTGGAGAAGGGGGGTGTCACGGCTCAGGGTGTGCTCGGGAGGTGCAGGCGGGAGGTGGAGCAGCTGTGGGGAGGGGGCTCTGGTGGGGAACCTCAGGTCTCCGCGTCCGGGCCGTGGCAGGCAGACAGGGTCCGGACTCTGGAAAGCGGGTGGCGTCGCCGTGGTGGCTGTGGGGCTTCCGCAGATAAAAGTGGAGGCGTTTTAGACGCGGGGGGCGTGGCCCGAGGGAAACTCTCCCGTCCTGCGGTGGGGTAAACAGTCGCCACTGACTTCCTTTTCTAAAGATCCGTGTCTGTGTCCCCTCGGCCGTCAGAAGAGTGACGTGCCCGCGACATCCGTGTGTCTGTCGAGAGCACGTGACTGCCTGAGAGTCGCTGATCACGTGGGAGTCCACGTGAATCCTGGCGTAAGAGCGCATGCAGACACGCGTGTGCGGACAGGGGCCCCTCCCGTGGCACGTCACAAGGAAACGTGTTGGCGTAGCCAGGACGAGCCGGGGAACGTCCTTTGGAATTTGGGAATGTCAAGAAAAAAGTTGGCTTAATGCTTTCTCCATTAGACCTAAGGAATATAGAATTAATTCAGGAAAATGGCACCAAATACTTTTTAAAAATGCATCTTCATACGCCGGTTTCTCTTCAGGTTGCATGAATCTTTCGCCTTTTTAAAAAAATGCGTCTTCATGCATGTTGGTGACACGACGTGGACCGCGGCCCCGGCCTTTCCTCGGTCCCCCTAAGGCGCGGCACTGAAAGGGGCGCATCTTCCCGCGTTCGCCTGGGCGCCACCGTCCTAGGCTCTCGTCGAGGGAGGGGCTGTCATGGGAGGAGACAGGTAAACTGAGGGCTCTGACGTGAAGACACGAGAAGTGACAAGTCACGGTGTTGCGAATGGTGGCCAAACCTCCCACAGTCACAGGAAGCAGAAGGCGGCTGGTGAACTTCATCCTTTCCTCTCGGATTCGCCAGTGGTGTGTGCCGCGGGCCCGCAGG